TCTGGCGTAGCCCGGGGCTTACCACAAGAAGACCAGTTACTGCTGCTATGGCACTACCCACTCAGTAAGACTGGAAACTCAGTAACACTGGGAAAACGTGCCCGTTCCACTTGGAACCGGAACATTGCTGAAGCACATCCTTCCCGAAGGAGGTTTCGGAAGCACTTACACATATGAACAACCGTCTAGGAGCATATGGAAGATTAGAGGTGATTGTAACCCTCTTGGAAAATAGCAGAAAGTCTGCCGGGGAAACATGGGCTCTGAGGCTATACCGTGGACTTTACACATATGGGATCCACTTAGGTCTCTACATATGGAACCCAGCCCTCTACCGGTTCTCATGGATTCATCGAGTGAGGGCCTGGCGCCGGACGTTCCGCCACGTCTGGCTGCCGAGGGGATGGAGGAGCTCAACAGGGTTTACAGTACGGACACTCTGGAGCAGTTTTAGCAAGTAGACACTAAACCGGAGCCTCTCAGTTCCTCTGCCCGTTTGAGGTGAGAACACAGGAGGATACCGGCTCCACACGAAAGCTATAGAATCTAGCGAACGTGTTGGGGGTCGCCTAGCCCGCAGCTCTACAAATATCTGTCAGCGAGATGTCACGAGCCAGCGCCCAGGAGGATGCAACACTCCTAGTAGAGTGAGCTCGCAACCTGAGCGGGCAGGGCACACCCTGTGCCTGATAAGCCAGGGTGAGGGCATCCACAATCCAGTGGGCCATCCTCTGCTTAGAGATGGCCTTCCCCTTCTGCCGGCCTCCGTAACAGAGAAAGAGCTGGTCTGAGGTCCTAAAGCTTTGTGTCCGGTCTACGTACCATCTCAAGGCTCGGACGGGACAAAGTAAAGCTAGGGCTGGGTCTGCCTCCTCCGGGGGCAGCGCTTGCAGGTTTACTACCTGATCCCTGAAGGGGGTAGTAGGAACCTTGGGCACATAGCCGGGCCGGGGCCTCAGGATTACCTGGGAGTCAGCCGGCCCAAACTCTAGGCACAAATCGTCGCCCGAAAATGCGTGCAGGTCGCCTACCCTCTTGATGGAGGCCAGTGCAAGCAGGAGCAGAGTTTTCATTGAAAGAAACTCTAGCTCGACTGACTGCAAAGGCTCAAATGGGCCCTGCTGTAGTGCTTTGAGCACTAGAGACAGGTCCCAAAAGGGTATAGAGGGGGGGCTGGGGAGGATTTAACCTTCTCACCCTCCTAAGGAACCTCCATGGGGTCATGGTTAGCAGCAATCGCAGCGACATAGACTTTAAGGGTGGAGGGAGACAGCCTTTGCTCCA